ATTTAAAGAAACAAGGAAAATAGAGTTTGAAATCTGTGAAAAAATCGGCCAAAATAAATTCAAAGTCCCAAGTTCTGAGAGTTGTAACTGATTTATTTGTTGACCAATTTAATTCTGGCTTCACATAGTTGGGGATGAGTATGGATTCTCCAGGATGTAAAGGTTAAAACAAATTCAAATCATAAACAAAGGAGAGAAAAAACCTAAAATCCTAAAAAAAAAAAAAACCCTAAAAAAAAATATTTTTTTTTGACATTGTTGAAAGTAACTGATAATAACATTGGACAATGTATTTATATGGTATATATAACAAAATAGAGCATAACAACATAATTACTCATTATTATTTGTGTTATTATATATTACTCACCACTGCTATAAAGGCACCAGCTGTATATCCACTTTGTGGACACTTCTTACTGCTATTCTTCTTCTTTTTGCATTGGACAGGTGCTTGCATCTCTTTATTATTGCATTATCCATCAGTTCCAGTTAATAGGAGCTGTTCTCTTTATCAACAAAACTTTCCTTTTTGTTTAAATATTCGTCTAAAATCAATTTCTGAAAATATTTTGATGAAAGTTTCACGAAGCTGAAGCCAATAAGTGGAGATTTGTTTAACATTTTAAAGTAATTTTACATAATTCAAATATTTTTTGAATTATACTCCCTTCAATGTCACACATCATATGAAGTTTTCTGGGGGGAGCCCCGTCGGCTCCCCGGAGCTATCCCAGGCTGATATGCTAATGTCAGACTTTGGCATCAATCATGTGTATGGAGTTCTTAGGCCTACTGGGAACCACGGCCAGAACCGGGCCCCCTCAGAGAGGCAAGGGGAGCAATGGCCTATAGAAGCCCCCGTGTGGTTGGAAGCATTCTATGTCTGCCATCGTCCGGAACAGGCACCCAGAAAGGTAAGCGCCTCAAAACAAACCCCTATTCTGGTTAAAATTGCTACCAAAAGCTGAACTAGTGGATAGAACTCCCCAACAGAAAACAAGCAAACTAGTGTGACGTCACATGCCGCCGCGCCGCTGTCTGCGCAGCTCCCCCCTCCCCGGGAGGGGGAAGGGGGAGCCCCAGACCCTCCATGCCGGCTACCCACACCTCAGTTCTTGAGGCTGATGCTATAGGCGAAGGTCGTGTGCTCTGGCTCCGGTGTCGCTACAGCACTGTGCTTTGCGTGTGGTGTTTGTTTTTGTGGGTGCGAGAGCCAGGAATTATCTTCAGTACTCGGGCTACATGCGCCTAGGGCTGCCTTCCCTAGGTGCCCTGTAAGTACTACCCTTGGGGCTTGGGGCCACCTTCCACAGGCTCCTCGGGGTCTGCCTCTGCTGGTCTGTTTTACCTTTTTCGGTTTTTCGGCTGCCTCTTGGGCTCTTGGGTGTTCTGTTCTCCCTTGTTACCGGCAGGTAAGAGGCAGTTTGCACTGGTAGGGCGCAGGGTGCTGCACAGCTTGTATTCCCGACGTCTGGGGCTTCCCCTTCCCCCTCCCGGGGAGGGGGGAGCTGCGCAGACAGCGGCGCGGCGGCGTGTGACGTCACACTAGTTTGCTTGTTTTCTGTTGGGGAGTTCTATCCACTAGTTCGGCTTTTGGTAGCAATTTTAACCAGAATAGGGGTTTGTTTTGAGGCGCTTACCTTTCTGGGTGCCTGTTCCGGTCGATGGCAGACGTAGAATGCTTCCAACCACACGGGGGCTTCTATAGGCCATTGCTCCCTTTGCCTCTCTGAGGGGGCCAGGTTCTGGCTGTGGTCCCCGGGAGGTCTAAGAACTCCATACACATGACTGATGCCAAAGTCTGACATTAGCATATCAGCCTGGGATAGCTCCGGGGAGCCTCTGGGACTCGCCCAGAAAATGGCGTTTCATTACATTCAACGCTGGTTTTGCGCAGTTTAAGGGATAATAGGTATGAGATCTCGATTGTTTCACGTGTAACATGAAACGGTCAAGCTTGTAGTTTGGAGACTACAAGCAAATTATAAAAGTTTGTAGACTTTTATTTCATGTGTAGGTTAGATATATGTATGCTGTATATGAAAGAGTTTGAGTGGGTATAAATACATGCTACCTTATATGGGGCTACTGTAATAGGCCTTATGCAGTTTCCTTAATTCTTATGTTTATATGCTATGTTCTTCTATAAGGGGTTATGGTAATACAGTATAAGAACCCAAGGCTGCGTGTTTGTGACTTATAAGGTTGTGCTACTACAAGACCAAACACTGCATTATTTTACTGTATACTACTTGTGGGGGTTGTTTCCTCCACAATACCATAACCTCACAAGACCCAGGGCATTGTGAGGTTATGGTATTATAAAGACCCGAGGATTCTTGAACATGACTTGTGGGTTACGATAATATATATAAGCCGAGCCGAGTTTGCCCCTCTGCTGGGGTGTCAGGTAAGCAAAGCAGGTAAAGAGTACTGTATAAACATTGGCTGGCCCAGGAGTAGCGTCTCAGCAGTGGTGCCCACTTCTGGTGGCTTCCTGCTGTCACTGGTGGCTTCCTGCTGTCACTGGTGGCTTCCTGCTGTCACTGGTGGCTTCCTGCTGTCACTGGTGGCTTCCTGCTACTGTGGTTGTTCCTGCCTGCATGTGTGGCTAGAACTGTTATTTGTGGCTCCTACAATCATTGGTACATGACTTCTGCTATCACAAATGTTTCCTGCTGTCATTGGTAGCTCCTGCTATCATTGGTTGTTCCTGCATTTATTGGTTGCTCTCGTGGTTGCTGGCAAATCATGCTCTCACTGGTGACTCCTGTTCTTACTGCAGGTGACTCCTGCTGTTGTTAGTGGCTCTTGTTGTCATTGGTGGCTCCTACTGTTTCTGGTGGCCTCTTTCATTATTGCTAGCTCCTACCATTATTTACGCCTTCTGCCACTGTAGGCTTCTGCTGTCATTGTAGGCCTTGCTGCCATTGCGAGCTTCTTCAGTCATTGCAGGCTTCTACTAGTATTGAAGTTTACTGTAACTTGTGACTGCTGCTGTCACTGGTTGCTCCTCTTGATATTGCTGCTGTGGCCTATATGAATTTCAGTTGCAAATGGAGATTTGTGTTGTTTTTTGCTATTTTTATAATGACTAGTCATTGCTAATGAATGAGGGAAATGTGTAAAATGTGTTTCGAGAGAAACTTTGCTAATACAGTACTGTACTGTACAAAATTACAGGTTTTGGACCATACTGATGCAACTATTCTCTATTCAATCATTGCTAGTCTTCACTAGTCTTCACGACCTACAATGACAGTTATGTTTATATTAGTGCAACCGATTATCTGGATAACATTTCTGTTGCATCCAGTCATTTTCTGGATTAAAATTCTCCAGTTTCATTTGATTATTCATTGATCCAAGTTTCGGAGAAATAGGAATCCACTGTAGGTGGTAAATATCTCATGAATATGGCTATAGGTGTTTTTAACCATGCCTTTGATTTATAATTGCCTTTCAGTTTAGGCACACCACCGAAGAGTGTTCTGGACATGGAGTAGGAATGGTAGATTTTATGGTTAAATAACAAATACAGTATAATGCTTATCTTAACTAAAAATAATGCTACAAATTATATTAATAAGAGTACAGTGGACCCATAGTTTACGAATTTAATCCATTCCAAGAGACTGTTCGTGCACCGAAAATTCGTAAACCGAAACAAATTTTCCCATAGAAAATATTGTACTGTAATGCAAATTGAATTACTCTGTTCTGCATACCCAAAAATATTAACTAAAAACTAAATTTTATACAGAATACTACTTATATTTTCTACTACGCCTTAGCTTTATTGATGACTTGTTGGTGTATGGAAGACGGTGAGGAGAAAGGGTAGGAGGGAGGGGGGGGGAGAAGGAGAAGTGTTAGAGTTTGGAAGGAAAGTCCCCTTCCATTATAACATCAGGCAGTGATGATATTTCTGGGGTACTTTCTCTCCTACATTTTGCAGGCATACCACTAGGACCTGGTTGTGGCTCACTGCTTGCTTGTCTTACTAAGAATCTGTCTATAGACACTTGTTTTTCCCTGTTTTAATACTTGTCTGTAGTGAGACATCACATTGTCATTACAAAGGCTAATGCAATGGCCTGCAACCGCTTTATCTGGGCCGGTCTTTTCAGCAAAACTTTGCAGTTCTTCCCTTATGGTGCACATTCTTGGGATCCATGGTGTGATATATAATAAGAACTTTCATATTCAGAAACCCCCCCAAAAAAAGCAGAAAAACAATGAAATTTTTCACAAAGAATTCAAGAGCGGTTGTCACTAGGCGGGATTCACTGGTAAACTGAGCGTGCCTCGCCCCGCGCCCAGCAGAACCCATGTGCTCGACGACCCATACATGTATCAAAAAACTCGTATTCCGAGGTAAACTCCATAAACTGAGTAAAATTTTACGTGGAATTGACTTCGTATACTGAAAAATTCGTAATCCTGGGCATTCGTAAACCATGGTTTCACTGTACAGTAATTGTAAAAATAATGAATAATTGACAAATGTTACGTATGTGACAGCTGTTGTCTCTTTTTATTAATTTTCCATGTTCTTGTCTTCAGCAGGACATGTGGTACTTGTGTATCATGTGTGTGCATGTGTGTGTTTCCATGTTCATGTGGTCATGAGTCTGTGTTTGTAAAGACTATGGGGGTGGTGATCTATTTCTGCCCATCAGTCTACTCTCGGTTGAAAGTTCAATGGTATATAGTGTGAGTCTGTCATAGTCTAGCTATTTTTAAGTTATATCAAATTAATTATTATTGTAGATAATATCAATTCTTACCCGATACCAAATCAGGAAAATAGTATGAAAAACATATATCAGTCAGTTGTCTTCTCCTGAGTTAGTGTTTTGGCTCTTAGTGCTTTCCATACCAAGGACAATCCCCCTTTAAGTTGTGAGATGCTGTGCCCTGAGATGAATAATGGGGAGAATGAAATAGATTTTTGTCTAAAAAATTATGTGTATCATGATTGCCTTTTCTTGCAGACAGTGGTGGAAGGCTGTGGCAAGTTGGACTTTGGTGAATACGAACTTGAACTCTGGGATTTAAGGTGACTTGTTTTCATTTTTAAAGATAATAATCTTGTATTCCATAGATTTATACACAGTTGAATGTGATAAATGTTATATAGTGCTTAAATTATAATACAGTAATAATTATTTATGTATTTAATATATATATATATATATATATATATATATATATATAATATATATACAGTGGTACCTCGGAATGCGAGTGTCCCTGTATGCGAGTTTTTCGGAAGACGAGCAGGAATTACTCCAAAAATATGTCTCGGAAGGCGAGGGTTACCTCGGGACGCGAGTTTGTTGATACGTGTACAGGCCGACTGGCGCGTGGTGGCATGGCGATCGCGCCTCAGTTTACCAGTGTCTCGTGTCCAGTGACTATCCCACCTGAATTCTTCACAAGGATTTACAGTTTTTTATCGGTTTTTTGGCCATTTGAGCATAAAAGTTGTCATTATATATCTTGCCATGGGTCTCAAGAAAGCCATTGGTAAGGTTCAACCTAAGAAAATAGCTGTGAGTAGAGGCAGTAGAGGATGTCCCTTCTTGATTAAGAAAATGTGTGAAGTATGGGAAGAACTGCAAAGTTTTGTTGAAAAAACTCACCCAGATAAAGCTGTAGCAGGCCGTTGCATTGACCTTTTAAATGATAATGTGATGTCTTAATACAGACAAGTGTTAAAATGTAGGGAAAAACAAGTGTCATTAGACAAATTCTTAGTAAAACAAGCAAGTCCTAGTGGTATGCAGGTAAAATGTGCCAGAGTGTGCATACCAGTGAAGTCCTCACTGCCTGATGTGATAATGGAAGGGGACTCCCCTTCCAAACAGTAACTCCTCTCTTCCTCCCACCTCCTCACCATCTTCCATATGCCTACAGCATTCAACAGCAAGGTAAGTAATAACTTGAACATAGTTTTGTAGGTTTATTTAGATGAATTAGGTATAAAAATTTAGTTTGATGTGGGGTTTTTGGGGTAGTCAGGAACGGATTAATTCATTTCCCTTTATTTCTTATGGGGAAATTAGCTTCGGAATGCGAGTTTTCGGAATACGAGGCGTCTCCAGGAACCAATTAAACTCTTAAACTGAGGTATGCCTGTATATATATATATATATATATATAATGTATATATACAGTACAACCTCGATTCAGCGTACTATATGGGGACCAACCCCAGTTCGTTGGAGCGTTGGATTCGTTGCAAGAGGTGACCTTCAGGAGGCGTTTGTGTCAGTGTCTTTTTTTTTTCTTGTACACAATAAAAATGCATTATCATATGACATACTGTACTTATATATTACTTCTCTACTAAAAAATACTGTAATTCATAAATTTACCTTATTGTTGAAGTTATGTCCATCTTGAAGTTTCGTGAAGTTGTGAATGCTCTTCAGTAAATACGTACTGCAGTGCATTATGCCGTTAGCACTGTGTTGATTAAAAGTAGTTTTGCTGTATGTTGAGTACTACAATACTGGTTATGAAAACTATTGTACACTAAAATTACTGCAACTTTAATTTTAACACTGTGTACACACTTAAATTTAACACTTGTTCTAACTGTTCACGCTGCACACGATGTTTTTAGATGTTTGCATCAGCTTTGCTGGTGCTCACTGCTGCTGTGAGTTGAGCTTCTTCTGAGTTGGTGCTGGCTGCTGTTGTACCAGTGCTGTGTACAACTGTGCTCATGCTGGGTACGGCTGTTGTACCAGTGCTGGGTACTGCTGTGCTCGTGCTGGGTACGGCTGTTCTCGTGCTGGGATACTGCTGTTCTCGTGCTGGGTTCGGCTGTTCTTGTGCTTGGTACGGCTGTTCTCTTGCTTGGTATGGCTGTTCTGGTGCTGTGTACGGCTGTTCTCGTGCTTGGTACAGCTGTTCTCTTGCTGTGTATGGCTGTTCTCGTGCTGGGTATGGCTGTTTTCGTGCTAGGAATGGCTGTTCTCGTGCTGGGTACGGCTGTTCTCGTGTTGGGTACGGCTGTTCTCGTGCTGGTTGATTTTCTGCTACTAGTTCTTGCAAAATATTGCTTCATTTTTGGCATTAATAAGGCACTATTAGTAAGCCCCTGAGACATTTTGTTTTATAACCAAAGAGCTGTAGTAAAAAAAATGGTCAATTACACAATTATTCTTCCACCGGCGGATAAATACTGTACGTTAATCGCAGACAAAGCTAAAGGCACTGGGTGCATACTGTATGAATGCAGACTAAGTCTATACGTACACCCTTTAGTAGGCTGGTGTTTAAGCCAGATCCAGTAACATAAATTTCTCTTAAATATTCGATTTACATCAAATTATATATTTTTGGGTTATATATTTAGTTTAGCAACATTATTACGATAATAAGAGCTATAAAAAATACTTATTTTGGAACTGATTTGTTCATTTTGTTACTTCGAAGCCGTAGGTCACTGAACTGTGGCGACGAAATCGAACAAAACACCGCCTGGTGTTGTGTTCGATTTCCAGTAACATAAATTTCTCTCAAATATTTGTTTTACATCAAATTACAGTATCCACTCAATTTAACAGCCTATATGGGGCTGAGCCCTAGTCGTTATTTACGGAGCTCCGTTATTTCCGATGTTAAGTCGGGTCGGGTAATTTTTCAAGTAACATTCAGGTAGGATATATTTTATACTGTATAACTAAAATTAAATAAAGTTCATTGTGTAATTGCATTCCAGTTTAGTGCACGGCCGACGATTAAGCCAGTTGCTGGCTGCTGCATGGATGATGTGTGAACACGCTCTGATCAAGTCCAGATGGGTGGGAAAAAATTGATTCATTCCTTTGTATTGAAAAATATTTCATGTATCAATCAGTGAGTTAATATTGTCTTAATAAAATTTTAGAGATGTGTTTTGATTTACCCTGAACAGTGCAGGTAATGTATTTTTAATGTTACGACACAGGCTGTGGCGGCCATGCCATAACAATGGCGATCGAGCCTTGTCACTGAGAGCTAGCCAAGACGAAATATTTTGAGCTCACCTTTTCTCTGCTGACGATAGAATATACATTTGCAGAGACTAATATGTAGCTTTTGTTGAAAAAAAAACAATTAATATCTTGTAATACTATAATAAAATTGGTAAATTGACTTACTTTTAATGAAGCTGAAGATTACGAAGCTGTGATGATTACGTCATCTTCTGCAGCGCTTGTTTTATATTGTTTATATTGTATACAGGGTACATACTGTATGTACAGTACACTTATTTTCAGGCACTCACTTCACACAACAGCTAGCCTTACTACTAATTCACATGAGTTCTAATTCTACTTCACTATTGACAATTATGTTGAATGTTAAACTCTGCTGCTGCTCGTGCATGAGAATATCCTTTATCAAGTTTCTTAATTAACTCCAGCTTCTGTGCAACCGTCAGGCGCTTCCTTTGGGTAACTTTTGGCATTTTGTAAATTAAAAAGATCACAATTACAGTACAGTAATATCCTTCACAATTGAAGCTAGCCGCGCGAGTTCACGGTAAACAATGGGAACACATGGCCCGGCGGAGTACATACTAGGTCCGTGGGAAAAAAATACCTAGTGCCTATACATACTATAAAAGGTATTTAATAAGAAAACAAAGACTTTTGCTTAATAAAAACTGTTTCAAAATATTTTATTAATAATAATTTACAATTTTCTTCATTAAAGTGAATCATTTTAAAAGAAAATTAAGATGTAATATATGACTCTGGACGATCCAGGTCGGTGGCGGCCTGGTCGCCATGTGAGGGGACGCTGATGCCACAACAAACCCAATACAGACCGTCGGTAATATCGACCGCAGACCGGTATAGCAGGCTCCAGATACTGGGCTCCCAAACTGGTCGTTAATACCGGCAGATCGGTATAAAAGAGGCCGTTAAATTGAGTGGATACTGTATATATTTTTGGGTTACATATTTAGTTTAGCAACATTATTATGGTAATAAGAGGTATAAAAAATACTTACTTTGGAGCTGATTTATTAATTATATTATTTCGAAGCCGTAGATCACTGAACTGTGGCAACGAAATCGAACACAACAATCATGGTGTTGTGTGGACAGGGATTAGACCCGTCCACTCGTGCTGGAGTTGTGCCATCAATAACGTGAATAATTTCTCAAATAGCAGATATCTATCTCATTACAGTATATTTTTGGTTTTATTTAGTTTAGTTTAATTAGGATAATTAAGAGTTATTAAAACACCAGTTTTAGAAATGATTTATTAATGTGAAATGTTCAAAGTCATGGGTCACTGAACTATGACAACACAGACGAAAGTGAGTGAAACTTCACTGTAAAGTGAGGTTTCCTGTACAGTATTCCCTTATCTGTTCACCCTCACTCGTCTTGTTTCATCACAGAAAATGTATACAAGAAGATTTCAACACATTAGCTAGCTATTCACACTTCAGCCTTTGAATTAATTTACAAAGATACGTGTGCCACAAATCGGTGAACGAAAATCATTGAAACTCGGTCGTTCACTTGTGTGGACGACTCTGGCTGGTGTTTGGTTAATTAATATGCGTCACTTCTTGTGGATCATTCTGGCTGGTGTTTGGTTCATATGATTCACTTGTTGTGTGGTCCACTTGTGTGATCCAACTTGTCATATGAAGGAATCATTAATTGTAATCTGTGATGGTATGGTAAAGTTTTCCACCACTGTGAACTCTTTCCCAACATCGTAAGCTTGTGGACCACTTGTGGACCACTTGTGCGGTCCACTTGTGTGGTCCACTTGTGTGATCGAACTTGTCATATGAAGGAATTAATAATTGTAATCTGTGATAGAATGTGAAAGTTTTCCACATGTCTGTGAACTCTGTCTCGACGTCGTAAGCAAATCCAAACATCCCCCGCTTCGGCGAACCATTGTTCGCCGAACCGTGTAAGTAAATCCGGCCTGAAAAGTGTGCGAACTAGCCGGAGATTCGTTGAATCGGGGTACGTTGAATCGAGGTTGTACTGTATATATATAATGTGTGTGTATGTATTAGAAGGA